ACTGTCTCAGGCAAACTGACACACGTGGACACTTTACTAGACATGTATTTTTTCAAAAGCCTCGTAACTCCAAACTCTGGATTACTACTGTCCCATCAAAAGGCTATGGCCTCAATATGATTCACTTGTTTGTGACTATTTAGTAATTTCCTTATCATTATGTACGTGGAAAAGAATGTGAAACATTCTTCCTAGTCAGTTTCATTCATTTGGCATTTCTTTTTTTCTAGAACATTTTCTATTCATCTTAAAACTTTTATTAAATTTTGCATGCCTTCACTTTTAAACTAAAGACATGCAATAAATTTCCCAAATTATTCTCCCTTAAATTAGTTCCTTTGTTATCTTAATAAAAATATACAGTGATTAAAAATGAAATTTGGGAATGAATGGAAGGCAGTTTCTACATGTTTGATAAAAATGGATTATTTGAATATGATTGTAATAATACTTTACATTCTATTACAGAATTAATTAAAAGGATTTACTCTATGTCTTATGACTCTTTACCAGAACCTTGGGAGACAGGTGACAAGCATTTTTTGCAGAGATATTTCTGAAACATTAAATAATTTGATCTCATAGGTTCCTGACAAAGTTCCTGACAAAGTGACTTACCTCTTTTTCTCTTCAGTAAAGCATTAGTAGAAATACCATATTTATATGAATCTTAATGTAACATTTCTCTAGGATCCGATAAGTCATATTTTCCAGGAAGCTGAGGGTTATTTTCTGTCATATTTATAATGAAGACATTTAATAAGACACACAAGTTTGGCGTGTTCCAGAACTTAAAAGCACTAAAAAAAAAAAAAAAAAAAAAAGTCAGTAAATGCAATGTGGTACCTGGATTAGATCTTGCGACTGAAAAAAGGCATTAGTGGAAAAGCAGGTAAAATCCAAATAAAGTGTGCGGCTTGATTAATAGCAGTATATCAACATTAATTCCTTAGTCTTGCCAAAACCATGATTATGTAAGATGTTAAAATTGAGTGAGGGATATATAGGTACTCCATAGTATCCTTGCAACTTTTCTGTAAATCTAAAATTATTCCCAAATAAAAATTCACTTAAAGTAGAAAAAATCAAGGTTGATTTATTTGAAAATTATAGTTTAGAAGTAGCTTTTCTCTGTAATAGTTTGAAAAATCAGAATTGTTACCTTTTAAAAAATACAGATTCCATGAATAGAGATGCAAGGGAATATGTGACTATAGGTTTCATTTTTCAGTTCGTAGGAGGCGTGGGATTTCAGTTTTTGGATATTGGCATGGTGTTTGTGACCATCTCCTTATACCTGATTACAGACTTGCTCTTTGATTCTTTTAAGGAGCTTCTATGCTCTTCGGTAGTTTAGTACAGCACTTTGTATTAACATAAGCACTTTCCCCATGCCCTGCTTTTTTCTTTTTCTTCTCTTTGCTTTAATGTACTGTTGGAGGCCAAAAGGCCAGTGATGGGCCTCCAGTTTGGAATTGAGACCCTCTCAGTGTAGTCTTGTTCAGTTACACCTATGTGAGCTTCTAGGTCAAGTACAAGACACAGTTGACCTATTGTTAAGGAGTATGAATAAAGATGAACATAACTCTTAAATAGCCATTTCTGTAATTGAGCTAAAATAATTGATTGCTGTCAGATAATAGAAATTCTCAGTTTCAAAAGTGAACTCTAGCTGTATAACTTTTAAATTTCTATAAATATTAAAAGACTACAAGAATGGAACTCTGTAGTTTGCTGAAACTATTACATAACTTTTCATTAATAAAAGTAAAATAGCCGTGCTGGTCTTATAAATGGTTTCCTGCTTCTGTTGCCAGCTTTAATGATTTTAGTTAAACTTAAATTTCATAAAGGGAAATAGATATATATTATACTTAAAGGATATAAACATTTAAAACAACAACAGGCCTGAGTGACTATTGCAGCATAATTATTAGGCTAAGAGATTTCTGTTTTGTTTGATGGTATTTATTCAGAATCGGTGTTATCTACCCCATGTTAGTAGAATTGACATCTTTACTTCTTAGTTGTGTAACATAATTTTGCCAAATCTTGGTAGGGAAGTTCAGAAAAATGGAAGACAGCTTTTTCAGGACAAGTTTAAATTCCTTGATCATGTAATAGTTCATACAGAAAAAACAAACAGAAAACCTCTTTTATTACTCTTTTGTGCTAGAAGAGCCACCCTAGAAGTGATGTTTTTAGAGACATACTTTATCATTCAGCTGACTGTCATTTTGTGGTCATCTAAAGTATAAATGAGAATAGCTAATATGTATTGAGCACTTTCTGTGTACAAGGCACTTACAGTGATTTCATTTAATCTTCACAAATACAAAAATAGTTTGGAATTCCCTTTATAGATGTGGCGGGGAAAGTAACAGATGTCTCCAGGCTAACCCTGAGGCTTTGGTGCAGAAAGAACAGGTACCCATGGTGTGCAGTACCTGCTGTTTGGTTCATAATGTTACCAGCTTCCAGGAAATCCTTAATCCACGGATACGTGGTAAACTTCAGAGTACTTCAGTTCTTCTGGGGGAAAAGGGTGTCTGATCACACTGGGTGACCTAGAGCAGATTGCCCTGGGGTGACTAGCCTGGAGTACAACCTCTTGCTCCCTGTTCCAGCCTTGATCTGGCTCATTCTTTGGTTCCCTAACATGTCAGTTGTTCACTGTCACCTGATTACTGCTGAACACTCACTCATTGTGTGCTTCATTGATCATAAGCCAAGAACTTTTGGCAGCTCTGGGGAACATGATCTCAGCATGCCTCCTGGTCAGTGTTGGGCAACTAGGAGTTGTTAGTTGGTGTGAAAATTTGGATCCAGAAGCCAGGATATAGGCCAGAGGCCAGAGATGTGGTAATTGAACAGCTGACACGTGAAATGCAGCTATCCAGACTCAGTCAATAGGGCAGGAGTCAGAAATAGAGTAGGCACGTGACTTTGAAAGGTGGTTTTTGAAGATTATGATGGGTGGCTGTGAACTTTGTACATATAAAATACAGTTAACATTTGAACAGTGTGGGCTTTAGGGGTCCTGCTCCACCCCATAGTCAAATCCACATATAACTTGACTTCCCTAAAACTTAACTACAAATAGCCTGTTGTTGACAGGAAGACTTGCTAATAATGTAGACAGTTCATTTACACATATTTTGTACATTATATATATTATATACTGTGTTCTTACAGTAAGTTGGAGAAAAGAAAATGTTATTATATACATTTAGAGTGTAGTATTGTATCAAAAAAATCCATGCAGTTCTTTTTATTTTTTAAAGATTTTATTTATTTGTTAGAGAGCACAAGCAGGGGAAGTGGCAGGCAGAGGGAGAAGCAGGCTCCCCTCAGAGCACGGAGCCTGATGTGGGACTCCATCCCAGGACCCTGGGATCATGACCTGAACCGAAGGCAGATACTTAACCGACTGAGCCACCCAGGCATCCCAAAATCCATGCAGTTCAAATCCGTGTTTTTCAAGGGTTAACTGTAATTCTAACTGTTTTTTGAAGAAGAATAAGAGTTACTTACCAACTTATTCATCAAAGTGCTCATTACACCATGCAGAAATCTCTCTGTAACTTCTCCCCATCAGTTATAGCTGTATCTTTCTGTAGCTCTAAATCTCCAGTCTCTCTTACACTTGAAAGCATAAAATACACATAAAATGACAAAGTCCCCTTTGCTATCTTGTCTTCTTCATGGTCTCCAGAAGTTGTCATTCTTCAGGGCTTAGACCTTGGCCACCTTCTGTATTTATTCCCTATGTGGTCTCATGTGACCCCTTGCTTTAAATGCCTTCTGTTCTCCCAGATTTATTCTTTACCTTGATCTCTCCTGTGAGCTCCAGGCTCATATCTATGTTGAATAGTCAACATTTATTTGTAAGTCTAATAAACATTTCAAACTTAGCATGTCTGAAATACAACTCTTGGACTCTTCTCCCCAAATGTGTTCCTGCCCTCCTTCTTCTTAATCTCAGTAAATGGTCCACCAGTTGCTCAGGCCAAAAACTAGAGGCCATCTTGAGTTTTCTCTTTCCTTCTTAACCCACGTCCAGCGCATTAATAAGGCTTATATATCCTCCTTTCAACATGTATCCCAAATACCCCTGTATTGCCGCTACCCACTACTTCCCTAATATAATACAACCTATCATCATCATCATAAGTTACCTGGATGATAGCAACAGCCTTGTAACTGGCCTTCCTTATCTCCTCCTTGCACCTCTCTAGTCAGGAGCAAAAGTGTTTTTTTTTTTTAAATGTTAAACAGTTCCTGTCATTTTCCTGTTCAGAATCCTTGAGTGACTACCCATTACACTCAGGATAAAACCCAAAGTCTCACCATGTTCTACCAGGCTCTGCATCTTCTGCCTGCTGACTTTATCTCCTACCATTCTGTCTTGCTCACTGTGCTCTAGCCACAGTTGCCTTTTTGCAATTCCTTAAATTCTCCAAGGCCATTGGAATCAACTAAATCCCTCTTACTCCCTACCCTACACCCTCATTCCAACCAGCTCAGCCCCCAGTCTGATAGCAGTGGAGGTGGATTTAGAGAGAACAAACATAGATAGCCAAGGCTCTCTAATATATGTAGTAAGTGAGGTTACACTAGAAATTTTGCAGCTCTATTATTCCAAGTTTCTGTAATTTGCATTGCTTTCAAGTGGAAGAGGAATTGGAGATTTAGAACAACAGAAAGACAAAGCTAGAATCAATGGGAGAAATGACAGAGAGAATTTCTGCTTAGTATAATGAGCACCATAATGAATAAGTTGGCAACAATTATATAATGAATAAGTTGGCAAATAAACTGGGCTCCTTCACCGGAAGTGAGTTCTCCAGCACTGGCAGTGTATGTGTAATTGAGGCTGATCAGGTTGAGGCTCCACAAATTGTGGAGGAAAAATGTGCTGGAGTGGAAGATGGGAGAATTGATTTTTAGATCTTCCTAACTCAGATTATATGTGTTTAGAATCTTTCTTTTTTTTCCAGAGCACTCTTTCCGAGTCTTCCTCAGATTTATTCTCCTGTATTTGTATTGGAAGCTTTCAACAATAAAAGGTAAGCACCTCTAGGTGGAGTTTCCAATATTTGAAAAGAAAGAAGAGCTATTTTCAAGGTTGATTCCAGTCAGATTGGTTAGGTCCCCATCTAAAGGAAATTACTTTAAGACATTTTTCTTTCTTCCATTTTTTATTTAGATTTTATTTTGATTAATTTTTGGTCTAAAATAAACAAAATGTACATACACAAATTCCCTGATAGGTTTTAGTTACTGAACAAAAAGTTCGCTGAGTTGCAGAAATAAAGAGAATAATATGTGGTAATAGCCTTTTTTTTTTTTTTTTTTTTGTGGAAATAGCCTTTTGATCAGGGTTTGCTAGAAATGGCAAATTCACCCCATCGTTTCCCTTACATCAGAAGCTCTTGAGAATTAATGATTGTGTTTGAATATCTTCTCTTAGAAAGGCAAAAATATGATTTTGTAGTAGAGAATTTTGTTATAAGTGCTTTTAGTTAGACCTGGATAATGCTATTCATGCAAATTCCAGTTTCTTATAACCCCTGAACTGTGGAACTTGGAATTAATGATATAAGAAAGAATAATCTTCAGGGTCTCTGGATACTAAATCCTCATAGCAATCCTATGAGGTATATACTATTATAATCCCCATTTAACAGATGAGGAAACTGTCTTGGACAGGTTACATCATTGCCCATAGTTATACGGTCGGTTTTGTCAGAGCTGGGATTCAAGTTCAAGTATATAACCGCTTGTTATATTGATCTGTGAATTCTCTAGCTCATAATTCCAAGAACCCCTTTATATTTGATTGCTTCTGGTAGCTAGGACCGAAATAATAGGATGGCACATCTAAAAGTTGCCTCCAGCCTGACACAGCTTGGTGTAGCCACTGGGGCCTGCCCCAACCAGCATGGTGCTTGGCAGACCAATATGAAATCAGCACTATGATGAATATACTGTTCTAAGGAAGGCCTAAACTCCTTACCATGTTTTCACCTTGAATCTCGTCTTGTTTCCCTATCTTTTCTGGGTTTCTGACTTTGCTGCCTCCTTTCCCATAATACCTATTTCTGTCCTTTAGATTTGACTGCTCTTTCTTCCTGGTTACTATGTTGACTTTACCCAAACAAAATTACTGCTCTGATTCAAAACATAGAGTTTGGATTATCTCTTTTATTGATATTCTTGTCTTGACTTGAGCCAGGGATTCTCCTAGGAGGAGAGATAGACAGTCGTATCTCCTCTATTGTAAAGGTAACATGAGCATTACATATGCGTCATGGTTCTTAACCTCTTGCACCTTGGCAATTAAGATTAATTTTTGTATCTGGCCTTAGCAGAAGACAAATATATCCATATTCCTTTTAAAACTAATAATGAAGTACTAAAGAAAGAAAAGGAAGAAGCAATTCTTAAATGTAATACACTTTTCTCTGTCAAACTCATCTACTTAGGACAGATCCAGGAATCAAGGATGAGAAGAAAGAGGCTTTTAAACTACATATAGATGGTGTTTGAAAATTCAGACCTTAAAAATATATCAGGTTCACTTAGAGCATCTTTATTTACTATTTTTTCCTCTTAATTGCAAACACATAAATAACACTATATTCTAAGTGCTTTATCTATTTTAGTTAACTTAATCCTCATAGCAATCCTATGAGGTATATACTATTATAATCCCCATTTAACAGATGAGGAAACTGTCTTGGACAGGTTACATCATTGCCCATAGTTATACGGTTGGTTTTGTCAGAGTTGGGATTCAAGTTCAAGTGTATAACCACTTGTTATATTGATCTGTGAATTCTCTAACTCATAATTCCAAGAAGCCCAGTTAACTGGTTTCTCAGACCACAGCAACTTAGAAGTTTCAAATTTGAAAGAGAACATAATGACCTAGGATTCCCACTTTAATGTGTTCCTTTTAATGAGATAATTACTCAAGAACACAAATATATATGTGCACTGGGGTTCCATTATAATGTTATCATAGAAAAATATTATAGCAAAATAATTGAAAACAATACAGAACTTCAATAATAGAAGAAATAGAGAAACTAGGGCACTGCTGTTCAAACTTTAACGTATATATGAATCCCATGGAGAACTTACTAAAATGAGATTTTGATTAAGTCTGTGGGGGGCTCTGAGATTTTACTTTTCTAACAAGTTCCCAGGTAATGCTGATCCTGATCCATGGACCCCACTCTGAGTAGCAAGGAATTACAGTACCTTCATATTATGTTTGTTAAGAACAGGTCTGGGACTAAGGAGAGGTAGGTGCCTCACTCATCTGTCCTTAGTCCCATCCATGGCTAAGGATCATGTTTTTAAAGACTATTCAGTGACTCTTAGTTATTCTTAAAATGTAATTAGAAGAAAATTCAAAAATGAAATTTGTGCTATTACTCAAAATTTGACTTAAAAAAGATACAAACTGGGTTTATGACAGCCTAGCCTTGGACAAAACATTTGCTTCCTGCCACCCACATGTCTGTCTTCAACCTCTCCAAAAACATCTGCTCATTTTTTTTTCTCAATAAATATATAAACTACTTAGTGGTTTAGTAGGGACTTCAGTCAGGATATCTACCAACACAAATAGTAAAGGGCAAATATTTTTAAGAAAAGGGTAGTGAAATAAATAATTTTTATGCATAATTATGGTTTGGAGTAGAGAATCCTACTTTTAAATATTTATTGATTTACTACCTTTTAAGCATAACTTTATTGGGAAGCAGAATCTGTGCATTTTCTGTATTAAATTCTAAAATACGTGTGTGTGTGTGTGTGTGTGTGTGTGTATAAATAAAATAAGCACCCTTTATGTTGCTACCTCCTTTTTTAGTAAGGTATGCCAAGCAGGTTTTTAAAGGGAGATCGGTTTTCCTTTCAACCTTTAAAGTTCAGTAACCTGAATCTAGAAGTGAAGTATCTTTCACTATGGAGCAGGGACGGAAGTAAAAAGGAGGCAAGGTAGGAAAGTCTGATACATTTAAAATCTCAACTGGAGAGGAGGGTTTTGGGCACAGAAAGAATTCCTGAAATCTGCATAGGGGTGTTCTTGAGGATCTGGCTGAACACCACACTGTGCATTCAATCTGAAACCCCTGGAAGCTGGCAAGGACAACTTGTAAGGAATGAAAACTTACGAGTTCTTCATAAGAATGAGCCCTAGAATAAAGGTTCCTCTATACAAGTCCTAAAAGAGTTTAAAACCAAACCTCAAAAAAATCATGTTAATCCACAAGTAACTTAACTGTCTGGCAGAAGTTTAACACTCTATAAATTAATACAAAAAAATCTAGCACTCAGCAACATAAAATTCACAGTAAATTGCATCCAGTTAAGCATTACTTGATAAAGAAGCAAGAGAAAAATCTCATAACCAGGAGACAATAAAAATAGACCCTAAAATGACAGAGATGGTACAAGTAGCAGACAAATACATTAAAGCAGTTATTGTAAATATGGCCTATATAAATAAATATAATGAGGGGTGAACTATAAAATATAAAAAAAGAAAAAAATTGGAACATCCAGAGATTTAAAAATTCAATAACTAGGTGGGGTAGATTAAATCTTTCGGGAGAAGAGGTCAATGAACTTGAAAACAGTGAGAATTCAACCACAAGGGTAGAGAGAAAAAAGATGGAAAAAGATGAAAGCAACTTGGTGCCCTGTAGGATAAATACCATGAGTCTAACGTAAGTGTAAGTGGTGTCTCAGGATTTTGGGGGGAGGGCAAGAGAGGAAAAGAAATTTAAATAATGGCTGAAATTTCCCCCAATTTGAAGTAAACTCTAAACCCACAGATCCAAAAATTAAACAGACTCCAGGCAAGATACATACACCCTAAGGTGCATCATAAGAAAATTGCTGAAAATCAGTGATAAAAAATTTTAAAAGCTGTCAGAGGGAAAAAATACATTGCATACAAAGGAATAAAGTTAAGAATTTAGACAGGAGACTTATCAGAAACTGTTCAAACCAGAATGCAGTTTAATAGCATTTTTTTAAGTGCTAAAAAATGGTCAACCTAGTATTCCATAACTAACAAAAATATTTTAGGACATTAAGGAGGAAAAAACATAAGGGAGAAGGCTTTTTTAGACAAAAATTGAGACAACTTATGATGAGCAGACTTACATTATAAGAAATATTAAAGGAATTTCTTTAAGCAAAAGGGAAATGGTAGCAGATGAAAATTTGGACTATACAAAGGAATAAAGAATCCCTGAAATGGTTCATATGTGGATAAATATAAGAATTTTTTTCTTTGTATTTTAGTTTTTTTAAAGGTAACTGTTTGAAGCAAAAAATAATAACAGTGTCTAGTAGAGTTATAACATGTAAAAGTAAAATGTCTGACAACAATAGCTCAAAGAATTGGATAGGGGAAAGGAAGCATATTGTTGTAAAAGTCTTAGACATGAGGGTGTAATGTGTTTTGAAGGTAGGTTAAAATAAGAGAGCATCCATTAAAAAGGTTGGAAAAACAGAGTTTTAACAAGAAACTATTGGTGGGGGCGCCTGGGTGGCTCAGTCATTGGGCGTCTGCCTTCGGCTCAGGTCATGATCCCAGGGTCCTGGGATCAAGCCCCGCATCGGGCTCCCTGCTCGGCGGGAAGCCTGCTTCTCCCTCTCCCACTCCCCCTGCTTGTGTTCTCTCTCTCTCTGTGTCTCTCTCTGTCAAATAAATAAAATCTTTAAAAAAAAAACCCCAAAAAACAAGAAACCATTGGTGGATATGAAATGAACTCCTAAAAAAATAATCCAAAAGAAGATAGAAAAAAAGGGGAAAAGGAACAAAGAACAGAAGGGACAAATAGAAAACTTGCAACAAGGTGGTAGAGCTACATACAACCATATCAATAATCACATTAAATGTAAATGATGTACTTTAATTAGAAGGCAAAGATTGTCAGATTGAATAAAAAAGTAAGAGTAAGCTGTGTTGTTCTCAAGAAACTCTTGAAATAGGTTAGAAAAAGGGTGGAAAAATATATACAATGTAAGTCCTAAGGATAAA